GAATCCTCTCTTCTGGTATTTACTGTGTTCATTTCCAGGTGAAAAAAGTTCATACACCTGCCAGATTGCATCAGTCAGTGAAGCCCTGGGAGGCACAAGCATTAACAGCATCTGAAGTATTTCTATCACACCATGAAACCTCTGGAGATGAGATGCACTGACCACACTCTGGTTCTTCTCGCTCTAGCACCAATTTAGTTGGAAAAAAATTAATTTTATAGAATTGGGTTGGTTTAAATAAATGCACACATGCAACAAAAAAAAACTGCCTTGATTCATAGAATTCATTTTTATAACAGCACTCTAATAAGTCAGAACTTCTACTGAGTCACACTGTATGTACCTGCGTGTATGGGTGTGACCTTTTCAGTTTCTTCATTAGTTCTTTGGAAAATGCTCTGTTAATTAAAGATGTGCTGCAGCATGTATTACTTAAACTCATGAAGCTGAGTGTTCTGAGAAGTTAAGAAAAAGGACTGACATAAAATAAACTCTGGCTTATGCAAAAAAAAAAAACCCTAGCTGTATTTGTTATGAGCAGGATTTCTGATAATATCTGCCCCGTAAAGACAATGTATGTTTCGGATTTCTCTAACAGATCATGTGGAAATAAGTTTGGACGTTTTTCACAGGCTGGAGCTTGCATGCACATGTGTCGGAAGTTCTGTGGATTTCTTGTAACCTCTCTATCTCTTTAGTGTGTGTGAGCCTGTACATGCACAGGGAAGAAAACTCCTGCATGTAAACTTTTTTTGTTGCTCTGGTGAACACTCTGTTCTCATTTATCAGTTTACAACTACCTCATTCAGCCACCCTCACCACCATAACACGCAGAAATGCAACTCATACATGCATATAAATTGGCCAGGGTTCTTCTTGCCTGTTCTGCTCTACAATAACAAGGAACAATCCAGTTTGCACACAAGGGAAGTTCATGTTCACATCCACTATTATTCCCACACAGCATGCTGTTTTGCATTAGCCCCAGAGTTAAACCTCCTTCACCTCCTTTTTTCTGTTCTTTTTAGAGATTATTACTCCGCTTTCTTCATCTTCTTTCTTACTCACAAAGTTCTTAGTCCCTCTTTTTCGTTGCCACAATTTCCCCCTGAGGCTGGTGAGTCATCTCAGTCTCCAACATGACTGCCTTCTATTGTATGTAACTGCAAACTGCAAAAAGGTCCCTGAGGGGATAGCTCCTAACTGAAACCATGTGATTTGAACATTGATAGTTCGTTTGACCATGTGATCCCTGCACATGGTCAAGTACACAGTGCGTTCTTCAAGACCGAGGAGCACTTTGTTCAAATAAACACATATCCGTCTTTCTTGCACTAAAAACACTGAAACATCTGGCAAAGACAACAGCAGCCAGATAGCTTTAATTGGAAACAATAAGTGGATTTCTCGTGTAGTTTATCATTTTGTTAATGAACATGTCTATTGCCTTTACATCTTCTGGTTTAAAAAAAAAAAGCAAAAGAAGATTTTGGATCAGAAGTTTGTGTTTTGGCTTCTTGAATCAAGTCAAAGGGGATTTACAGGGAGTTATGGTGAATAGAGGATAAAAATAAAGTTCAGTTGGTCTGATGTGGGAACATTTAGTGGGAAGAATCTATGGAAACTGTGGAGGATGGAAAAGTGAAAGACCTGCAGTTAAGCCAAACCTTTGTTTTGTCTCAGCAATATCCCAAAAACAAAAGATTAATCTCCTCTCTAATTCTTGTTTGGTATGAAAGATTGCATTTTAGGAAATGTGTTTTGATACATCAAAACTTAAAATCTACCATCCATTGCCTGTGTCTACTTAAGCCTTGGAGTTTTTGGAAGTAATGGTTTGAAAAATGTGGTGTCACTTGGACAGGTCACCAATGCCACACAAAGACTTGGAGGAATCATTTTCTTTTTTTCCCCTACGTAATGAGAATGAGAATATCTACATTTAGTATCTGCATATATCTCACATGTAGACACATATACATGAGAGAACATTCTCTCCCAAAAGCTCCTGCTCAAAGACAAACCAAGCAACTTTTAGCAGCAAGACAGCTGCAATAAAAACTGCATTATATAACCGGGCAGGCCCACTGTTAAAAGCTTCACTGTTAGCCTCATTCATCAACTTCCCTTTTCCGTGTCAGGGTTGCAGATAGGATGGGAGATATTACAGAATGAGCAGGTGAAAGCAGTTTGGAAGCACGGAAAGGTCACCAATCTGTTACCAGCTGTCACAAATTTACTCAACATTTCTGTTTTTGTTCTGTGAATGGAAACCTGATGATCCATAGAAAACACATTGATGCACAGGAGGAATTTGCTGAAATATCCAAATGTGAATCAGTGTAGTGATTTAAACCAGATACATTTTTACTGTAAGCTACAAATATGAGGCTCTTTGACATTAGTTTGTCTCACTGGATGCATCAACTTTCACATCAATGAAATCCAATGGGAGAAGACTTTAGAATATTGAAAAATCATCTTAATAATGGATCAAAGTGTTCTAGCTTGTGGTCTTCATCAAGGTTATCCTAGGGCTGGGCAATTTGTCAATAAATCAAATTAGGGCTTAAAAAATTGGATTAATCAATTATTGAAATAATCGTCAACTCATTTACCGGTAGTAATCAATTAATTGTTAAATGTAGTAAACAGACTGTAAAACATGCATTTAGCTGACAGAGTGACCTGCTTAGAGCAGTAATCATATCAAAATTGTAAAACAAAATATATAAAAATGTTGCATTTAAGGTAAAAAACACTTTTTCATCTGTCAAAATGCTCTTTCCAGAACTCCTCCATTGGAAACGTTTTAGTTTAATTTGGTAAATAATCTTTTTTAAAGGAACCTTTGGCTACCCTATTATTAATCAGTTAATCAAAAAATAATCGACAGATTAAATTGATTTGCAAAAATTAGTTAGTTGTAGCCTCAAAATCAATTATTTAGATTTTTGAGTCATAACGTCCAGCCATTCATTTTTCCATTCAATCATTAATCGTTCATCATATTGTATTTTCAAACACTGCATTACATAGAACTGTGCGCGAAAAAGGTTTCGTTAGATACAAATCATCAGGATTCCAAGTAGTGCGCTGTCATCCATCGCTGGATTGCAAGCCTCAGGGTTGAGTCTTTTCAAATTTATGCGGATCTTTTTGGTAACTTTTAAACCTATAGCCTGTATGAAGCTCACACGACAAAGCCCAACGATCCAAATTAAAGTATGTTTGTCACACTTTCTTAAAACTTCTATGAGGATGGTGTAACTCTTAAAAACATGGTATTTACCAGGGTGCTGCTTTTTAATGCCGCTTTTATCCCGGATATGTACAAATAGAACTACAAGAACCATGACAGGAATTTCATCTTTTCACTCTTCTGGTTCCTGTCATGATTGTGTGAGCTCACCGGAGCAATGAGCCCATGCATTGTGTCGCAACTGCACATGAGCCTAATGATACAAGAGCATCCCCATATCATTATTCTCCAAGGTAAGGCTACCATTGTGTGTTTTGTGAGAAACAGTGTTCTGTTTACTCCAATCATAACACTCTAATGCTCCCATATGAGAGAAAATGTGTGTGCATGTGTGTGACCACTTAACCAGGAAAGGGATGATTTATCCGTTGGCAGTTGAAGGTGTAAACACAGACATGTTGGCGCACACACACACACACACACACCTGGCATATCACACACCCTTTTTCATTTGCCTTTCAGACACAAATGTTTAATGGCCGGCTTATGCACACACATATTCATGAAGCTCTCCCATACTCCCACATGCTCTGTTCATAGAAGTTATAGCCCACCCCACCCTCTCACACGCTCTCTTAGTTACACACACAGACGTAGAAACACAGAGAGCCCTGGGGGAATGGAAGGCGCTGAAACTAGTTATATGTGTGTTGGGTGTTGTCTACAGCTGGAGTTGGATCTGGTTACCTAACACTCCCTATTGCTCACTTCTATAACTTTAGAAAAAAAACATAAATTACGTCCACATGTGCAATTAACCTGGAACCTCATCTTATAAACTGATTAACCGATTTTTCACGCTCATGTGTGAGTCAGCAAAACATGGAGAGTTTCAGGGTCCCAGTGGACCAAAATCCACTCAGTTTCAAATGAGGATTTTCTATCTTATGGTATTATACAAAACTGCATTTGATTGGCTTGTGTAAGGGTGAGTGAGTACATGTGAAGGTGCTTCCTCTGTGGTGGTGTGGGTGGTATTAAAAAAAATTAACCAGTTGAGTGTTATGTCAGCTCACCTGCAAACCTAACGTTCAAATGAATTTGTTTGCATAATGATAGCGCAGCCCTTGCTTTTCTTTCATTGTTTCCCCCTCTGTTTTCCCTCTCTATCACTGCTAGCATTTATCCTTCATCTTCTTCCAACACCTCCCCGGTTTATGTGCTTTCCCCCCCAACCGTTCCCCTTCTCTCCATGTGAGTTTTACTGCACATTTGAGCAATTTGAAATCATTGGATTCTCTGCAGGCAAGGAAGGGTGAAAAAAAAAAGGGTTTACAAAAGGAAGGGAAGAGGGAAAAGACAAATAAAAAACACCTGGATGAAAAAAATATAGGACATTTATATGAAGCAGTAAGCTAAAAACAATGAAATGAGGGGTGGGAAACAGACAAAAAGGGGAGACAGTTACAGGGTCCACCGCACCCCTCAGGTCTGAGACCTAAGAGAAAGCTCTTTAGAGAGGGTGAAACATTTTTTTCACTGGATTAACAGACAGAAGATGAAAAATGTAATTGTTCATTTAAGCAATCAGAGAGCAGGTGGTCAATAAAAATGTAAAAACTGATGTGTGAGGCGCTCAGATAGATAGATAGATAGATAGATAGATAGATAGATAGATAGATAGATAGATAGAT